CCTGGCCTGTAACAAGCCCCCCAGGCCCCAGCCCCCCGCCCCATGAACCATTTCCTGGCCCGGAATAGCCCCCGCTCACCGGGCCTGGCTTCAGCCACACCCCCGCGCGGCCGGGTAATACTCCACCCCCAGCATAAGCTTCCCTCCCCAGATTGCAATACCTCCCTATGGCGTCCCGCACTTCATGAACCAGCTCCCCCTGCCTGCCTCCCACCCCCACCCCCGAATGACCCAGCTGCCAGCCAGCTCTAGGCCCCCAGGGTCTGGTAACAGCCCCCAGCCCGTGCATGTAGTTACCCCCCAGACCTAGTCAGTCCTCCCTGGGCCCATTTTCCTTTCAATTCTGGCTAACGGTGGGAGGAGGGCACCACAGCCCCCACCCGCTACTGATGGCTGCCCCCGGGCCCTGCAGGCAGCAGCATGGCGGAGGAGCTGGCACCGGGGCTGTTCTTCCAGCACCAGTACATGTGCTCCGAGTGCGGTCTGCTCTACAACACGCTGGAGGAGGTGGTGCTGCACCAGCAAAGCCACCTGGGTGATCCTGCCCCCCCACCTGACCCCCACTACCAGTGCCTGGACTGCGGCCGCGTCCTGCTGTCCCCGGACGAGCTCCTGGCCCACCAGAGCCAGCACCCGCGCCCGGCGCCAGCACACCAGCCCACACCCGCCCCTGCCCCTGGCCAGATCCGCTACCAGTGCGGTGAGTGCCAAGAGCTCTTCCCCTCGCCTGAGCTGTGGCTCGCGCACCGCCAGAGCCACACGCCCATGCCACCTGTGCACCCCTACGAGTGCTCCGAGTGTGCCGGGCTCTTCCCCACCCCTGAGGAGCTCCTGGAGCACCAGGGCGAGCACTTCACTGAGACTGAGAAGGAGAGCAGCGAGCCAGCCGCCCCCGAGGCCCCCAAGCCTGAGCCAGCCAGCCCAGCACCAGCGCCACCCGAACCCCCGGATGTGCTAGCGCCTGCAGCAGCGGGGGAGGAGTTCACCTGCACTGAGTGCCCACGGGTCTTCAGTACAGCCAACCGGCTGGTGGCGCACCAGCGCGCCCACATTGATGGCACACATGAGTGTCCACGCTGCAGTAAGGTCTTTAAGAAAGCAGCATCACTGGAGCAGCACCTGCGGCTCCACACGGGTGAGGCCCGCTACCTCTGCGTGGACTGTGGCCTGGGCTTCGGCACCGAAATGACACTAGTGGGGCACCGGCGCAGCCACACGGCCAACCCGCTGCACCGCTGTGCCTGCGGCAAGGCCTTTAGCAACATGACCAAGTTCCTCTACCACCGCCGAACCCATGCCGGCAACAGCGGCTCGCCACCAGCCCGCCCACGCCCACCAGACCCCACACCAGCACCACTGCCCGCCACCACACCAGGCACCTTCCCATGCCCGCAGTGCGGCAAGGCCTTCTCCAGCCATCCACGCTTGGTACGGCACCGGCGCCTGGTGCACATACTGGAACGTAAGCACCCCTGTCCCACATGCGGGAAGCCCTTCAAGAAGCTGGTACACGTGCGTAATCACCTGCGCACACACACAGGTGAGCGCCCCTTCCAGTGCTGCGAGTGCGGCAAGACCTTTGCCTCACAGGCCAATCTGGCACGCCACCACCTCACACACACCGGCGAGCGGCCCTACCAGTGCGATGTGTGCCACAAGCGGTTCACGCAGTCCTCCAACCTCCAGCAGCACCGGCGCCTGCATGGCCCGCGTGAGCGGTGCCGCCGAGATGTGGCAGCAGGAGTGGTGCAGCGGGCACGGGGTGGGCAGCGCCGCCTGGCCTGTGTGCTGTGTGGCAAGGCCTTTGCCAACTGGAGCGGGCTGAGCCGGCACCAGCGCTGCCACGCGGGGCTCCGGCCGCACCAGTGCCCGCTCTGCACCAAGAGCTTTGGGGCAGCCTCAGGGCTGCGGCTGCACCAGCGCACACATACAGGTGAACGCCCCTTCCCCTGCCCTGACTGCCCCAAGGCCTTCCGCCAGGCCACACACCTGCAGGAGCACCGGCGCCTGCACACAGGTGAGCGCCCCTACCGCTGCCCACTCTGCCCCAAGGCCTTTGTGCAGGCCATGCACCTGGCTGAGCACCGGCGCACACACACAGGCGAGCGCCCGCACCGCTGCCCGCTCTGCCCCAAAGCCTTCAAGACACTATCCAACCTGCGCAGCCACCGCCGCACCCATGCCACAGTGCCCACCCCCCCTGCGCCTGTCACTGCACCACCCACCCAGACCATCATGTGCACCGAGTTTGGGGAGGCCATTGCCATCATTGAGACAGCCGAGCCACTGCCACTGGCTGAGACCATCGAGATCTACCAGGCAGCCTTTGAGGGCAACCTCCAGCTGGACGCTCTGCAGGTCAACGCTTTCGTATAGGGCCGGACTGGGGGGCCTCCCCTCCCCCCCGCACCTCGCCCCCTCCCCCCACTGTAAATAAAGATTCTGGTTTCAGCCCCTTGCGCTGGGGTCAGGGTATCTGTGCCCCTCGAGAGGGTGGCAGGGACTCCCAAGGACCAGGGGCGGGGGGCACTGGAGCCCATCATGGGGCCTAGTTTAGCGATAGAAGGAGCAGGGATCCCCCTCTCCCCCACAAGTCCTGCCCTGCCCTGCAGCCCCTCCTCACGTCCCCAGTGGGGCCCAGGCATCCTATGCTACAGCAAAATAAGGCAAGGTGGGGTGTTGCCTTCTCCTTACCCCAGGAAGCAAGGGCAGGGCTGCACCTCACCCAGCCTCTCCTTGCAGATGGGTGGGGTCCAGAAAGTGCCTCTCAGCCCCTTCCCCTCAAAAACCAGCTGCCCCCCATAAGTCTCCCAGCACAGGCTGCCTCGGGTCATGCCAATAATTTATTGAAGGGGTCTGTACACAGCCAAGTCTAAGAAAAGGGCTAATGGGGCCACAGGCCACCCCCCCTCCAGCTCATTTGGGGGCAGCAGGGGGGGTGGGGGGGGAGGCAATAAGAAAAAAATCAACTATTTACACAGCGATCCATAAAAGGAGGGGGCAGGGGTGTATTTACAAAAGGGGTGGGCGGGGACATAAAACTCCCATTGGGGTCCAGAGCATGAGGGGCCCCCCCATAGTTGTGGGGGGCACGGCCATAGTTTCCCCCCACCGGCTCCGGGGGCACCTGGGGGAGAGGCTTAAAACTGAAAGGGACTTTAAAATGGGGGGCAGACAGAGACCTTCCCCCTCACCCCCCACAAGGCAGCAGCTGGGCCAAGGGGTCATTGGAAGGGATGCTAAACCCTCGCCCCCTTCACAGTTCAGTTGGGAGGCAGGGGGGAGGCCGGCCCCAGAGCCCCTCAGGAGGTGCTGGCGATGGGTCCCGCGCCGTCACCCAGCTGGTTCCTGTCGCCGCTCAGGCGCCCCTCACCTAGGGGTGGAGGCAGGGTCAGGGGGCACTCAGGGATCCCTGCCCCTCAAAATACCCAATGCAGCTGGCCACTCACCTTGGGGAGCCACACATCCCCCCAGCACCCGGGCGTGGGGGGGTACCAGGGTAGCGTTGAGCACAGGCTGGATGGCGAGCTCTGCAGAGAAACATGGTGGGGGTCAGGCTGGGGGGTCCGGGGGGCCAGCTCCCCCTCCCTCCCCCCCTGCACTCACCCACAGGGCTGAAGTTGAAGAGGGGGGGCAGGTCATGGCCGCTGGGCAGGCGCGCACCCGGCTCACGCAGCTCATCGAAGAAGGGATCAGCGCAGGCCGCCAGGGGCGAGAGGCGCGTGGCCGGTGTGTACTCTAGCAGGCGGGCGCACAGTGCCACCGCCTCACCTGGTGTGCGTGGCTTGAACACCTGGGGGAGCATGGGGGATCAGGGTGGGGGCACCAGACCCCCCCCCCCATACCCTTCCCCCCACCTACCTTGGCCCAGGGGTGGGCCTTAATCTGGGGGAACTTGAACTCTGTGTAATTGGGGTTCATCTCCCGGATTTGCTCCCGTGTGGGTGTCCCGAGCACCTGGTGGGGAGAGGGGGGACCTGTCACACCAACCCCCACCACCGCCCAGATGCCTGGGTTCTCTCTCTGCTCTCGGAAATGAATGGGGTCCAAGATATCAGACAGCTGAGAGCCCGGATGCCTGAGTTCCAAGAGGGGAACAGGGACCTGGATGTCTGGGTTCTTTCTGCTTTTTGAGAAGAACAGGGCCCAGCAAGATGGGCGGCTGAGAGCCCAGGCAGCTGGGTTCTCTCTCTGCTCTTGAACGAACAGGGTTCAGGAAAATAGGCATATGGAAGCCCAGACGCCAAGGATCCAGACTCCTAGGTTCTCTCTCTGCCCTTGGAAAGAAATGGGGTCCAGCAGTATGGGCAGCTGGGAGCCTGGGCACCCGAGTTCTCTTTCTGCTCTTAGAAAGGAATAGGGTCCAGGAAAACAGGCAGCTAGGAGCCTGAATGCCTGGGTTCCAGGGACCCAGATGCCTGGGTTCCCTCTCTGCTCTTGGAAAGGAACGGGGTCCAGGTTGGTATCCCAGATACCTGGGTTCTGGGAGAGGAATGGGTACCTGGACTCCTGGGTTCTCTTTCTGTTCTTGGAAAGGAATAGGCTTTGGAAGGACGGGCAACTAAAAACCCCAGACACGGGTTTTCTCTTTGCTTTTTGAAAGAAACAAGGTCCAGAACAGGCAGCTGGGAGTCTGGACTCCTGGGATCCAGGAAGGGAACGGGGACCCAGATGCCTGGGTTCTCCTTTTACTCTTGGAAAGGAACAGGGCCCAGGAGAACGGGCAGCTGGGCCTGGATTCCTGGGTTCTGGGAGGGGAATGGCGAGCAAGACGCTTGGGTTCTTTCTGCTCTTGGAAAGGAATGGGCTTGAAAGGATGAGCACCTGGGTACTGGCAGTGCAACAGGACCCGGATGCCTCAGTTCTCCACCTACCTTGATGATCTCCACCAACTGGTCTACACCGCTGTCCCCAGGAAAAATGGGCTGTCCCAGCAGCAGCTCGGCCAGCACGCAGCCCGCCGACCAGATATCTGTGGACAGGGCAGGGTATCAGGATGCCTGGATTCCCAGCCCGGCAGGCAGGGGCAGGATGGGGGTGCTCTTACCTATGTTGGACGTGTAGTCGGTGGCACCAAAGATGAGCTCGGGGGCCCGGTAGTAGCGGGAGCAGATGTATGAGACATTGGGCTCGCCCCGCACCAACTGCTTGGCACTGCAGGAGAATCGGGGGCATGAGCCAGAGCACAAGGGCCCAGCCACGGGGAGCAGAGGGAGGCGACCCACTGGCCTGGCTCTCATACCACCTCTGACATGATAGGGGAGGAACCCTTGCACAAGGGGCTGGGCACGAGTGTCGGTGGGGAGGAACCCTCGCACAAGGGGCTGGGCGTCACCTGCCGAAGTCGCAGAGCTTGAGCACAGCCGTGTCAGGGTCAACCAGCAGGTTCTGGGGCTTGATGTCACGGTGGCAGACACCCTGTGAGTGGATGTAGGCCAGACTGCGGAACAGCTGGTACATGTAGACCTGTGGGCACCAGGGGATGGGCGGTCAGCACAGCGAGGGGGGGCAGGGAGTTTCCCCCCACATCCCCTGACCCCACCTTACCTTGACATAGATGACCGGGATGGTCTGCTTGGCCTTGGAGAAGTGCCGGGCCACGCGGTACACCGTCTCCGGCACGAAATCCAGCACCAGGTTCAAATAAACCTCGTCCTTCTAGGAGGACAGGGGGTGAGACCCCCTGGGATGCCCCCACCACCACCACCCCTGCGCATCCCTAGCTGAGCAACATGGCTCCCCAGAGCCCTCCAAGGACCCCGGGTCTCCTCCACAGTCCCCCGCTCCCCTGACAATCCTGGCTCACCCTGCCCCAACAGTCCTGACCCACTATACCCCAAACTACACCCCCCTGCTGACAAGTCCCAAACTGCTCCCCAGTCCATGACAGTCCCAGCCCCACCCCCGCCCCAAACTGCCCCAGGGCCCATGATAGTCCCAACCCACCCTACACCAAATTGC